AAAGTTTCAGTCAGAATTCCCACCTGGTGATACACCAGGGGACTCACACTGGAGAGAAACCATATGAGTGTCCGGATTGTGGGAAAAGTTTCAGTCAGAATTCCCACCTGGTGATACACCAGGGGACTCACACTGGAGAGAAACCATATGAGTGTCCGGATTGTGGGAAAAGTTTCAGTCAGAATTCCCACCTGGTGATACACCAGGGGACTCACACTGGAGAGAAACCATATGAGTGTCCGGATTGTGGGAAAAGTTTCAGTCAGAATTCCCACCTGGTGATACACCAGGGGACTCACACTGGAGAGAAACCATATGAGTGTCCGGATTGTGGGAAAAGTTTCAGTCAGAATTCCCACCTGGTGATACACCAGAGGATTCACACTGGGGAGAAACCATATGAGTGTCCGGTTTGTGGGAAAAGTTTCATTTGTAATTCCGAGCTGGTGATACACCAAAGGACTCACACAGGAGAGAAACCGTATGAGTGTCTGGTTTGTGGGAAAAGTTTCAGTCAGAATTCCTACCTGGTGAATCACAAGAGGACTCACACAGGAGAGAAACCGTATGAGTGTCCGGTTTGTGGGAAAAGTTTCAGTCAGAATTCCAGCCTGGTGATGCACCAGAGGACTCACACTGGGGAGAAACCGTATGAGTGTCCGGAATGTGGGAAAAATTTCAGTTCGAAGTCAAGCCTGGTGAAACACCAAAGGACTCACACTGGAGAGAAACCGTATGAGTGTCCGGTTTGTGGGAAAAGTTTCAGTCAGAATTCCTACCTGGTGATACACCAGAGGACTCACACTGGGGAGAAACCGTATGAGTGTCCGGAATGTGGGAAAAATTTCAGTTCGAAGTCAAGCCTGGTGAAACACCAAAGGACTCACACTGGAGAGAAACCATATGAGTGTCTGGTTTGTGGGAAACGTTTCAGGCAGAATTCTAACCTGGTGAGACATCACAGGACTCACATAGGAGAGAGACCGTATGAGTGTCCGGTTTGTGGGAAAAGTTTCAGTCAGAATTCCTACCTGGTGATACAC